ATCAACACAAAACCGGAAGATCCAGCTGAAAACCGGGAAAACCGGGGTGAACCGACTGAAAACCGGCAAAACCGGTTTGAACCGCCGGTTCACTTTTTTTCTTTAAAAAAAATTAAACCAAACAACGTCGTTTGTTCAATGAGCCGAGTCAAATTCGAGTATTGCTGAGCTCGACTCGAACTCGAAAACTTTAAAAGTAAGCTCAACTCGACTCAAAAACTCACGAGCTAAAAATTATCAACTCGAAATATAATATTAAAACTTGAAATCGAAAAGGCTTGAACTCAAAAAAAATTAGAAGTTCGATTGAAGCCTAAAATTTGAGCTCAATTGAAGCGAAAGAATAGTTCGCTTTCTGCTCACTAAAAGACTCCATGATTTTGAATGTCAAATTATCTCTATTATTTATAAAAGTAAGTTGGGATGCTCTTCTATGTTTCTTAGCCATGTGGGATTGTTTTGTTCTCATATTTTTACTCTTTAAACTTTTGAGATACTATTCTATGTTTCTTAGTCATGTGGGATTATTTTTTTTTTTAAACAATTAAACCAAATGACATCATTTGTTATGATTTTTTTAAACACAATTTTGTTTTTTTTAATTATAGTTATATAATTATATTTATTATTTAATATGTTTTAACTTAAATATTATGTTGTAGTTGATTTGAATCATTTTGTTTCACTTGATTTTATGGTTTTTCATTTATACATGTTATGACTTGTGATATTTTTATACCTTTTAATATTGTAAACTTAAAAAAGTGTTACATATATATTAATATTGCTTTGAATATTATGTAAAATTAAAAATATATATTATTTTATATAAAATCCGGTTCAACCGCGGTTGAATCCGGTTGAACCAGTGAACCAGTGAACCAGTACCTTCACCGGTTCAATGTCCGGTCCGGTTTTGAAAACATTGGTCAAAATAAGTTCTACTATTAACATCTCTTTTTTTTTCTCTCGTTCTAAGGTTTCACCTTGACTAATCTTAAGAGACTTGGGTTGCACACTTAATTTTAGTGGGTAAGCATCTCAGCGAGATTTTATGCATACACAAACGATATCAAATTGGTTACTGCTTAAACAAATTCGGTTTGTTATACTATTAATCTCTATATTAATTCTAAGTTGTACGTTTAGTTTCTATTGTTCATTTTGTGTCCCTATAATTTTGTCATATTCATCGCTTAACTTTAACTTCATCCCAAACTTGATCGTTTAACTTTAAAAAATAATAATTTGATCACCCAATTTTGAAGTTTGAATTTTTTATCACTCCAATGTTTATTGAAATCAATACTGAAATCTTAAAATTAAAAATACGTTAAAACTATAATTGACCAAATTAAAAGCTCTGTTTTGAAAACCGGATCGGATCGGGTGGTTCAACCGGAAACCGTTGCTTAGTCCGGTTCAATCTAAACCGGTTGAACCGCTATTAGTGAACCGGTCAAAACCGTTGAACCGGACCGAATGAAAACCGGAAAAAACCGGGATTTTTGTTTAAAAAAAAAAATAAACCAAACAACGTCGTTTGTTAAACGAGCCAAGTCGAACTCGATTATTGCTGAGCTCGACTCGAACTTGAAAACTTTAAAAGTAAGCTCAACTCAACTCAAACTCACAAGCTAAAAATTATCAAGTTTAACTCAAACTCGAAATATAATATTGAAACTTGAACTCAAAAAGGCTTGAACTCAAAAAAAAAATTAGAAGCTCGATTGAAGCCTAAAATTCGAGCTTGATTGAACTGAAAGAATAGTTACATAATTATAGTTATATAATTTTGTTATGATTTTTTTAACCCCAAATTTATTTTTTAATTATAGTTATATAATTATATTTATTATTTAATATGTTTTACCTTAAATATTATGTTGTAGTTAATTTGAATCATTTTGTTTCACTTGATTTTATGGTTTTTAACTTATATATGTTATGACTTGCTTTGAATATGACTTGTGATATAAAAAATTATTTTTTATTAAATATTTTTGGTATTTTTATTTAATTTTTTAAATAATTATGACGTCAGCTGGTTCTTTCGACCGGTCGAGGTTCGACCGGTTGAACCGGTAGCATGACCGGTTCGCTAACCGGTCCGGTTCTGAAAAACATGATTAAAAGACGTGGACTAAATCGGCTCCTTAGTTTTTTAATTATGCTCCAATTAGTTTTTAATAGGTTTAACAAGAAAGTTAATTTATTTAAGATTGTAATTTTTTTTAAGAACTACAGTGAAGTTTAAGCATCAACTGTCTCAATGTTTGGGGGGAAACATACGCGTATATGCATATATATAAATATAGAAAATAATAACACCATTGTCTCCTGCTAATGGTTTCTTCAATGTCAAAATATTCGTACATGTACTCGTGCGACAAGCAACTAATTATTTTTTTAGCACTAATCAAGCGACCTCGTTAGTAAAGTAATTGTTGTTATTTATTGATGTCTCGGGTTCAAGCATCAGGATTGCTAGGAATGTGAGCGTTCAATGTCAAATGGTGAAGAGTTATCTATGAACTGATATTGCCTTGTATTTACTCCATATTAATAAAAAAATAGTTATTTCTTTAATATCAATAAATTAAACAAAAGTCAATAACGTTTTTGAATTTCATTATTTCCTTAATGTCAAAACATACTTGTTGACCAAGCTACTGTAGTCTCTGCCCTGAGCACAGATTTATATAATATTATAGGGTATATTGTCCTTTGTTTAGTCACTATAATCAACTTAATTAGAGGCACTCCATTCGGTCCTTTTTGCCTTCGATTCTTGATGCCCCGTTGCGAACATTGCACATGGACCATGAGATTTCAGTGCAAAGTGCATGCATGCATGCATGCAAGTTGCGAATAAACTTGACTGTACGTAATACAAAATTTTACCATGTTTGCAGTTTGTCGGGCCCTTAAAAGATAATTTAGTCAACGTTGGTATGAAACTCATTATTAGATGGATTATAAACTATGATTAACACTATTAAACTAAAGTTTTAGAACAATAATGAGAAGTTGTTTTACTTAATTACAGTGAGCACTTCTTCTTCTCCAAACTCAATGCGGTGGTTGAGTTGACTATCACTATTTTCTGCACTCGTAGTTTCCTCTTTGCTTCTTCTTCCAACACTAAAGAGATATTCAGCCATTAATATTTCAACAAATTAGCTGTATGCATCCACTTGATCTCTTAGGGTTATGTAACCGAAATTCTTTTTGATCGTGTTCGAGATGAATAGGAAGAAATTCTCTTAAAAACAGAGATTAAAATAGGGATTCATGGTGGTAATCAGAGATGTCAAGTTCATGTAAAATTTTAATTTTTTCTTCGTATACTGATAAAGAGTAGGAATTTAGTTTGAGTAAATTAATTTATATGTAAGTTTCCTTTGTAAATAAGAAATTTGATTTATAAATAGATACTAGGAATTAGGATTCAAAAGTAAGTTGGTTAAATCCTAAATTACGTTTAGATTTAAATTTCATTGTACTCTTTTTTCGACATAGTGAATTTTATGCTTTTCAGTCCGTCGGTTTTTTTTTTTTATCGAATTTGCTTTTCACATTAAATCGTAGTTTTTTTTATTGGTTTACATTAGTTACTATGTTGCTTATATTGCGGGTAAACAAAACTCGACTAACTAAGTCAATTTTTTTTACTTGACTAGACATGTAATTTTATAAGTTCGATTCAAAAAAAAATTAGAGTTATAAAATAGGACTCGAATAAATCGAACTTTTTAAGGCTTAAATATAAAATAAGTTCCCAATCTATATCGCTTTTCACGAATAGGTGCCTAAAATATTTTTTTACTTATCCCAGTGTCTAACATTACAAACATTATCATTTTAGATGCACACGCAGTCAAAAATGTTAATTTATTCTGTTAAGTGATGCATGTCACAATTTGATGATTTTGAAAAAAAGTATTAAAATAGTATTATATTTATATATAAATTTCTCTTAAATTATAAGAAGTCCTAAAATCCCCAAAGTCTAACATTAACCCCTCGCTGATGCCCTTTCCGGCCACGACTATCGCCATTGACGTAGTCCCTACCATCCTCTTAGTCATACGTCATCGTAGTTGTCATCGATTGACAGTCAGAATCGCGTGGGATCACACTTTCATAGGGGTTTTGATCTCCGGGGAGATGTGAGGTTGGGTGGAGTTTCGTCAACGACAAATGGCGATAGTAGACGTGGTTTTAGTTGTTCAGGTGAAGATTTTCAAAGTTTTGAGGTTCTTTAAAAAAATTATGCTTTTTTAAATAAATTTTTTTTTTAATTTTACATAAAAAATAAAATTACCAGACTGTGACATGTGTCACTTAACGGGAAAAATTAACATCGTTGATGGCCAGACACTTAAAGTGGTAATGTTTGTAACTTTAGGCACCGGGATGAGTCAAAAAAATACTTTAGGCACCGGGATGAGTCAAAAAATATTTTAGGCACATATTCATGAAAAACAGTATAATTTGGACACTTGTTTTATATTTAAGACAAATTTTAATAATTAGTGGATTAGTTTTTAATTTAGAATTGAGACCTCAACTTAATATGATATATGTATATCGCATATAAAAAAATGAAGAAATATATATGTATATCGTTTATAGTTATAAGAAATCGTTTAAATCGTATTCAATTAAACCATAATATATTATAAATATTTACAATTAAATAAAAATTGAGTTATAAATAGGACTAATCAACTCCAGAAACTCAATTATTTTACTCAACTTCATTCGACACGATTGAATATTCACCCTACGTGATTACAACCTCCTGTATATCTTCTACCCCATGAAGCTTGGGGTTAACCAAATCATAGCCAATAAGCAATCAATGCTTTCCTCAAGGTGCTTGCCTTATACGTGCAAACCATGCATATGGATGTAGTTTGGTTTGAATACAACACCTAATCGCAGAATCTGGTTGGCTGTGGGGATAAAAATGAGACAATTATATACCATTAATTTAAAACAAGAGGTTGGTGAATTGGTGATGTGTTTAAATATTTAATAAACTGAATGCCGATTTGCCTACGGACTCCCCCATAGCCGATAAATGTGGCATGTGATGGAACTCATGTATGTGTCAGAAATATCATATGATTGTTAAGGCAATTGGATTCAGCTTCTCGAGAGCAGTTGGATGACCATTTGGCTCCCCGTGCTTGGTCAAACTATTAAAAAAAATCTTCAAAAAGAATAGAAAGATTATTATATATCAAGAGAGATTATAAAAAAGTTTATGATTATGTAGATTTAAGAGCTTATCGGTTAACATCCGACCCATATTTTTAACACTAGAAAACTTCATGAGTACCTTTTAAAGAAGAATAATATTTTTTTTAACACATATGTCACTTAATTAATTTAATTAAAATTAGGTAGGATAATAGGAGAGATGATTGATGATACAACTTAAAAGAGGAAATGCTTTCCATTGAATCACGACCATGTAGGTGAGGGCTCAATTGGTGTAAGAACTGTTGTAGAAACTGCAAAAGCAAACTCTGGCAGAGAATTGACAATTCACCCCATCGTTTTCTACAAAGTACAAATGGATTTAATTACCAGAATTGACCACGACGTGACCCCCCGATTTATAATTGCCATAAAATGCACTTCCCATTCATCCTACGAAATTGTGTCAGTTCCGCTCAACGATAATCAAATACCCTTATCAGGATCGAACTTTTTTAGCCGACTTGTTTTCCTTTAGACCATCTCACGAAACTGGAGATTTAGAACTAGGAGGGAGAAATGGGTACCTTTTGTTGCTTAAAGACGAGTTAATGAAACATAAAAGCTAAGGCACCATGATCCTTTGTTCCCATTGGCACAAGTATAATCCAAAAAAATGACTGTCCATTATTTTCATATATATAATAGAATAAGAAGAGATAAGATAGTAAATTATCCTTAACACTAAATTAATAGTAATTTTTATAAAAGACATCTGAATTATAAAATATATTCCATAAAATTCGAATCACGACCTTAAGTATAATCAAAAAAGAATTGCAAAATTTTTCATCACACGAACCTGATCTACTTATTTTTTATCCCAATATACATTATTTTAAGTGGTGAAAATAAAACAAAAAAAATTCACATATTTTGTTTACCTACAAAAATTTTGGTTTTTTGGCCTGCCCCGAACCAAAAGCACCGGCCTTTGTTTGCCCAGTGAGTTGGTACAGCCATTGCACAAGGAACAAAACAACAAATTATGGCTGAAAAACCTACCCGTTCAAAAATTTCTCAACTACTTTAACGCTTGGTCCCACCACTTCCCTCTCCCACACATCCCGCGAATGTGACTCGTCTTTCTTCTTCTTCACCATCATCATCGCCGCTAGAAACGCCGCCGTGGCGTCGATTCTGGTAAGGTCCCACCCCGCCGCTCTTAGCTTCATGATCTTCCCTGTCTGTCTCTTGGCCAATCGGTATGTGTTGTCTTTAATGTCTCTCACGGCTTCCTCGTACGCCTCCCTCCTCTCCGCCGTGTCGGAGTTGCCTGGCGGCGGGACTAACCCGTTTTCTACCGTCTCCCATGGAGGGTACTTGCTGAAATATTTGTCGAATTCCGGGACTCCGATTGCTTTTCTTAACCCGACACGGATACCTTGTTTTGACGGGTCGTAGAACTGAGCCAACTCTTCCAACATCCCCGAGTCGAGCATTTCGTCCACTCGTTGACATAAGTAGTCCCGGAGTACCGACCAGGCCACGTCGACCCAAATAAAACAACAGTCGTACCTCAACGCGTGACTCACTGAGCACGACTCGGAAGCAAACACGTCCACTCCGGGGTCAAAGGCGTCCACAAGGAGAGCGTGTATGAACGAGTTGGACCCGCCAACGACAACCGGCAGCCCCCCACGAGAGGCACTCTCGGCAACTACGAAACCCGCCGTCGAACGGAACTGCGACGGTGCCACGTCGGCGTCGATGGAGTCGAAATCCCCTAACAGGAAGTGTGGGACCCCTTCCCTCTCCTCCATAGGGATTTTGTTCGTCGTTATTTCTAACCCGCTGTAAAGCTGCATTTTGTCGGAGTTTATGATTTGAGAGCGAGGAAAATGAGCGGACAGGTCGATCGAGAGACGTGACTTCCCGGCGCCGGTGGCGCCCATGATAACAACGAGCTTTGTCTTGTTTTGATCGGAGTGGTGGGTGGCGGATAAGCTCATCCGGGGCCACCTTGGACGGCGGAGCAGAGGAAGAGGAGGGTAAAAGTGTGGGTGAAAAGAAGAAGAGAAAACGGGTTTCATGGGGAAGAAGAAGAGAACAAGAAAATGGGTATAGATGAAGTGTGAATGAACATATACAAAAGCCACTTCTTCTGCGTGTGCCTCTCCTTCCAATTACTATTGGCTTCACACAATAACAACACAGAGAGAGAAACAGGAACAGAAACTTGAAGACGTTTTGCATATTCTTTGTTCTTCTTCACCGGTCGTGCCTAAAGAGCTTCCTTCTCTCTCGCATTCTGGGTTTCATCATCAATCTCTCTCTTTCTTCCCATCATCTTCCATTTATATATGTATACAATATGTATTATTTATATTAACAGTTTATAATTGACTCGAAACTAGATACAAAAAGGGGATTTGAGATTGGTAGTAGACTGGTAGAGACGATGAATAAATAAAATAAATTTATGAGGTTGTAAAGCTGGAATTGTTTTAAAAAAAATGAGATTTTGAGCTGTTCAAGTGCTAATGATCAAGCAGGGCTTCAAACAGACAAATTATAGAAAATTTGGAGTTGTTTCTGTTAGCGTTGATAAAATTAAATAATTACGCATTCCATAAAATTTCAAGACTCCAAATGTGATTTGGTTCGTTGTATAGAATTATACATTATTTTCTTTTTGTCCATCGGAAAAATTATTGTAACAAATGGGCAATTTCTAGTGGCTTTCTACTTTATTTACGATTTTGCTTAGGAAATGCCAAAACAAACCTTTTGGTTGTAAATAATTAGTCTAAGTTGCAGATATGTCAAATCCTAAACAAAATCGTCTATCCCGGAAAATTCTACAGTGCAGTAAACTTAATATATAGATAAGGAAATACATTATATGTTTTGTTTTTTTTTAATATTTTCGATAAAAAATTATTTAAAAAATTATTATTTTTACCTAAAACATTAATATTTTTTAATATTTTCGGTAAAGTGTCCAAAAATAATAAAATTGGTTGAAAAAATAATGTTTTAAGTAGCGCTTTATCAGATATGTTAACAAAACCGGTAAAACGCCTAATAATAACAAAACCAGTAGAAATAATAATGTTTTAAGTAATTTTTTATTGAAAATGTTAAAAATAATAACAAAACCGGTAGCGTCTTTTCTTAGTCGTATATTAAGGCTTCCGTACGTGAGACTTCCCCGCTCGGGAATGAGGATTATACATGTTAAAATATAAGATAAAGTAGTCACCGACTATAAGATAATATTTTATTGAGTTCTTTTTTTTATTAAAAAAGTACAATATGTTTCTTTAGTTATAGGGAGTTGATTTGCCGAGTCTCTCGACTATTAAAAGTTATAAGATGACCATCTGAATATCATTATGTTACGAACTCAATTTTTCCTGTTAAAATTTTGATTCGTTAATTTTGTAACAGAAATGATGAGTTTTGAACATAATGAATAATCGAGTGACCACTTTGCTACTTTTAATAGTCAATTGGCTTAACAAAGTAACTTCTTATAATCGGAAGACAATTTTGTAACTTTTAATTGTCAGAAGTTCGAACCGTGCTGGCTGGGAATTCTGAAAAAAGCGGGAGGACAGAGTGGTGGGTTCTTTGAGCCCCTCCGGAGGTTGCCTTGTAGGGTCGAGTTCTTTAGCCTGATCTTGGGAGATCCTACAATATCAAAAAAAAATTACATTGTTTGTTTCCATTTATATTATATGGGTCAACGATTTTAAAAAGATTACATTCTAATCACTTTTACTGCCGGCCTGACTTATTTTAATAGCCGAGTAACTCTCGCAATGGAGCCATCTTTAGGGGTGACTTCTTGTGCAAAACCGCTTTACTAAGTGCAAGCTCCTACTAGGCAAAGGTTTACGATTCTTCATTTCCTCATAGTTCTTCAATTCATCACATTGTATTGGAGATGATTCAATGGCAGTCTCCCCTCCTCGTCGTGTTTGTCTCGATTCGGATGGAGCAGTTTCTTCCACGACTAGATTCGGATCGATTGGCGGTGTAATCCGAGACCACGATGGGAATTTTCTTACATCTTTCAACAATAATAGGCAAAACCGATGTCTAACAGGCAGAACTTCTGGGTGTGTATGAAGGTCTCAACTTTGCTTGCAGTCGAGGCTACGAAAGACTGAATGTTCAGGTGGACAATGCCGACGTCTATAGTATTCTTACTAATCCTTCTCTCACGAGCCCTCATGCATTGGTTAGAGACATCTTAACTCTTATAGCCAAACCGTGGTTTGTGGACTTTATCCTTGTCCGCCGCGAGGCCAATATGGCTGCTGATCTTATGGCGAAACTTGAAACTCACACGGATGGTTCCCTTGCTATTTTTTATCCCTCTTTAGCTCTGACTAAGCTACTTCTTAGGGATATTTCTAGTCCTCCCTATGCATGTTTAAAGGGACACTAATGTAATGGCTATAGCCTCATCTTATTTAAAAAAATAGTTAAATTTCAGCTTGACCTTTGTATTTTGAAAAAAAAAATTAATTTGACCATAAAGTTTAAATAAAATATTAATTTTAATCTCTAAATTTTAGATAAAATACCAATTCAACCTTTAAATCTAGTAAAACTCTCCGACCTCCGTTCATCGCAGTTGATTACCATCACTGATCATTGTCGATCATTAGTAGAGGTGGGAGTAGATCAGGCCGGCCTACAGGGGCCTACAGCCTGGCCTATATAAAGCCTGGTCTGGCCTGGCCTATTTAATAAAAAGGCTAGGCTCAAGCCTTTTTAAAGCCTGTTAAATTAAATAGGTCAGGCTTAGGCTTATTAAAAAGCCTTATAAGCCTGATAGGCCGGCCTATTTAGAGTGATTACTTTGTAAAATACACTAAGTTAGAGTGACTTAATAAGGACTTTACTCTAAAATTAGTGACTAAACTGAAAATATTAAATGTTTATTGTTAAACAGGCTTTTAAACAGGTCAGACTTTTAAACAGGCCAAGCCGAACCAAAATAAAAGCCTTTGACAGGCTATAGGCCAGGCTCAGGCCTACGAAAATCTTCGTAGGCTAGGCTCAAACCTATTAAAGTCTGATCTGACCTGGCCTATTTCCACCCCTAATCATTAGATCCTAAATTATTTTTCACCCCTTTTCATCTCATGAAAACGAGTTTAATGTTCGCTTCATCGAAAAATACCCAAAGTTTCACAAACTTATTCTAAAATCCTTTAAATTTTTTTTAAAAATAAACCGTAAAAATAAATTCATCGTTATATTCCTTTAAAAAAAATAAGAATATTAAAAATCTAAATCTATATCATAATCTAAAACCTGTAAATTAATTATTTGTGATCCAGTGTGGCTTAAGATGGTAATATTTTGGATTGGCTAAATCTGATTACGAGTTTGGGGTGTTTTGGAGATTCAAAGCCCGTAGTGTTTGGTCATGGATCTTCAGCCCGTCGGTTGTTTACAATTTTTTCGCTGGATGTTTTGGGTTTGGATTAGCCATTGTAGCACACTTGGCGTAGGGCTTCTCACCGCGTAGCCCGCTAGCCTTGGCGTCGGAAATGAAAGTGCAAGTTGTATGCGCATGGGTGGACCATTCGTCGGGTAGGATCGGAAATCTGGGTCTAATTAATATAAAAGAAGTATAGGTATAATTATCTTTAAATATATAAATAATAATTATAATATTATATAGAGTCAAATTATATTTTTTACACTAAAGTTAAATTTGACCTAACTTTACCTAACTGTACATTTTGAAAAAAAATACATTTGAACTTAAAATTTTTAAATAAAAAAACTGACCAAATTAGATCGGGTCTTGATGAAATGCCCATCCTTGATAAGCATACTATAGTTGTTATGTTACTGGAGGCTACTAGCCGTTAATATTTGTCGGAATTATTGACGTGACAGTTAATAAAATTTATAAAATTATACATTTAGTCCTCATTATTTACATATTCTATCAATTTCTTCATAATTTGAATTTAGTTCAAAAAAATAATTTTCCAATCAAGAGGTGACATGTGTTACACGTTGATTGGAGAGCTTTTTTTAATTAATTTTAATATTCAACTTTATTAAATTATCCCACAAATCAGGTGGTGACAAAATAAAGCTAAAAATAAACTAAAGCATATTTGTGCTTGATTGGAAAATTTTTTTTTGAATTAAATTCAAATTAGAGCAAAATTGATAAAATGTGTAAGTAGTGAAGACTTAATGTATAATTTTATGAATTTAATTAACTGTCACATTAGCATCTCCGTCAAATATTAACGGTAAGTGACCTGAATAAATACAATTAGGTCTGATTGACAAAATATCAAACCTAATTGTAAGATGGATGATAAAAGTAAAAGGCTAAATAATTAAGTTGGCAATGTTACAGTTTACTCTAAATTTTTTCATAATTATATGATCATCAATGTAATTTTCCTAAAAAAGATAATCAAAACCATGGGGTTTTCACCAAAAAATCACCACACAAATAAAATATTACCTATCAGTCATCGTTTCTCAAATATTGTTCGATCTAACACCTATAAAAAGGAGGAACGTTCGGTGAAACGCGCTTTAGGAGGATCTAAAGGTAAGACGCGATTGGTGGGAAGCGCCTAAGTCGAAAACTGCATGACACCGGTGAAACCTCTAATACCCTGCTCATACCCCTGGAAGGCGCTTCCCCGAAGCACGTCTTACTGGGGTTTTCTGACAACCCTGGAAGGAGCATCCCATGGAGCGCGCCTTCTCCCCTTCTCGCCTCATCTTGCCTATTTCTCCCAATCCCAACCGACTGCCTATATAAACTCCCTTTCAAAACTCACATAAATTACACCTAAATATTTATCGTTCCTATATATTTCAATCTAGTAAGGTATAATTATTTTTATAATTTATTTTTTATTCATTAACATTTTATTATTTGAGTAATTAATTTTTTATTCGATTAGTTTATTATTATTTTTATTTGATTATTTAATTGTAAACTTATTTAGTTAATATATATTAATTGTAGTTAAAAAATGGAAGGTGTGTTGTTGCAATTGAATACTGATTATATTTCGAGTCATTTTACCAATGCGATAAGAAAATGAAATTATATTCTTTTTAAATTTATGAATATTATGAAATCAATTATATTATTTAAATTTTTAGAATTTATTTATTTGAATTTAATTAAATAATTTTGAAATAGTAGTTCAAATTTTAATAGTTAGAATTTATTTGTTAGGAAAATGATCGTATATGAAAAGTTTTTATTCGCAACAAGAAGATGAAAACACTAAGGCGTATCTTGCCATATTTGTCTATGGTTGGATCCGATTACTTAGCAAAAATTGAAGGAGGTTGTAAACTTAAACCCGTCCTGATTTCTGCACTAATTGAGAGATGGAAGCCAGAGATACACACGTTCCATCTACCATGGGGGAGTGTACCATTACGCTAGAGGATGTTTCAATGTAATTGGGGCTCTCGGTAGATGGAACTGTCATTTATGGTGTGGCAGATGATGATTGGGAGGTCTATGCAAGGAGTATATTGGGAGTAGCCTGTGTCATTTCGACGGTGGCCGAATAAGATTAAGGTGGTTGGAAAATGAATTTAAAGAGTTATGCTAAAATTGTTCGAAAGATGAGGTAAAAGTGTTTGCATGGATAGATATACTGCAACTCATTGGAGGGATATTGATGTCGAAAAAAGCTCATAACCAAGTCCATTGTATGTGGTTGCGACATCTGATCGATTTTGAAGTAACCGACATACTGAGTTGGGGGTCTACAGTGTTGGCATTTTTATTTAGAGAAATGTCTTGGGCTACGAAATATAGTAAGACTGCTATTGGTGAGTGTCTCATGCTTCTCCAATCGTAAGTATGGTACCGCATGCCTTTTTTGTGTCCAATCGTGAATGAATCATATGTATTTCCGTTACTTTCAAGGTATCAATACTAAATTTATTTTTAAATAATGGTTTTGATTATTATAGAATGACACACACACACATATATTTAGATGGTTAAGTAATAGAAAAAATCATCGTGATATCCAACAATAATTACAATATATTTGATTACTTATTAACCAGAAAGCTGGTGTAGAGGTACGTTTTTTAATTTTAATTTTTTTATTTAATTGAATTTATGTAATTTGAATCTCATTTTAATTTTGATAAGAAATCTATATTTTTGTTTTAGTTCAAACGGTTGCCATATTTGGACGATGAATTGAGGGTTTTCATCCCACCTAACTTGAGTGGGCTATTGGATGTATGGGTGGCGGTTGTGCCCTTTATTTGTTATGCTATTGTTGAGCGGCATCCGATTGATTGCGTGATTCATCAATTTGGTTTTACACAATATATTCCAAAAGTACCAAGAAACATCGACAATATGCATAACGTCGATAGACGAAGCAAGAAATAGGTCAATTGGTTGGTGAAGCATAGAGGCTGGTTGGCGATGTGGGAGAACTGACATCAACGCTTATCCTATCGACAATATATATCAAAAACTGGTTGAATGGTTTCACCTGGCTATATTGAATGGTTCAACGCAAACGAGAAGCCATTCTTACTTTTAGAGGAAGCACGAAAGAGGCAAATACATCATCGTCGAAAAAAACGTCCAACGTCACAACATCATCAAACTCCCACTACTGGACGAAGAGCATGCGCTTTCGAGTCATCCTCTGCTATTTCACCGAAACTATCACACCAGCAACCAACGACACCAGTTTACATCCTTAAGCCTTCAACTTACATGGGGACACCACTTCACTTTCATATGCCCCCGTAGCCGGTTTAGATGCCAAATCCACCAGTTGAGATGTCTTATTTGTCGATTCATATGCCACCACCGTATGGTTATTCATAGAGCACACAAGGTTTTATGACACCTACTGGCGGATATTTTTTGACTATCCTTATAGATCCAACATTTAATTCCTACGCAAATTATTTTGCAGGTGGTCCTCCACCACAAACACCTCATCCGCAATATGCTTCACAGACATCGATGTCTGGTTTTTTACAGTTTTTGCGGTTCTCAACAAGTGGTGGGATGGTTAGTCAGACAACTCTAGTGTCCATATTCTACAGAGGTCATACATCGACATTCAACCCTTATCGAGATAATGTTATTGAGGGTGATGATGACAATAAGGAATGAAGAATAGGATGAGGATGATGATGATAACGACGACAACGATGATGAGAGTAAAGAGGATGAGGATCATTTAAGAAGAAATCCTCCTCGAACTAGACGACCACAACCTTGCGGAACACATTCAATGACACATCGATATATCTAATAAAATTGTAATCTCGATAGATCTAATAAAATTGTAACCTTTTCATTTATTGTTTCTTGATTATGTATTTGACTCTTATTTTATTTTTTATTATGTATTTATATGAAGTATATTTTTGTATTATAGGACACACATTTTTATGTCTAAACCCTAAATACTAAACTCCTAAAAATCTTTAAAATCAAATACAAAACCCTAAACCTACTCTAAACAGACCGAAAATTACTGTGATCGGGAGGCGTGTTTTATAGGATGTGCCTTCAAAAATACCCATGAAATATGTGTTTCATGACACGCACCTTCCCTTCCTTTAGGTAAGGCGTGTTTAGTCATGTGCGCTTCATTCTCTCTCTTAAAAATAGGTGTTAGATTAAATAATATTTCAAATACGATGACATATATTATTTAATTCATAAGGTGATTTTTAGGTAAAAAGCCTAGAACTACGACCCGAATCAAGCCCATGCCGACCACGTTCCTGACTTTGAAAACCGAAACCATCGAGTAACACGTGTCCAAAAGCAAAATCACACGGATATTGGCTTCCCATCTATTGGCTCGTAAAAATTTGTTGGTTCCTAGATATTTATCGCTGCAGGCAGGCACCGCCTTCGTGATATTATATAAAAAATATTTTTTATTCATTTTAAATTTTACATAAATGAATAAATAAATGCGACAGCCCAGCCAGACCAGATCGCAGAGAAGTGGTTGCTTTGCAGGCGCTTGCTCCCCGCATGCATTTTCCCCTTTTTTTAAAAAAAAAAAAAATTAATTAATCCATTTTTTTAGTGATTCTCTTGCCTCTTCTATAAATCACACTGTGCCTCTCATTTAGCATCCTCCTTTGTATTTTTGACCAATTTTGTGTTTCACCCCCTTCATTTATGCAAGAATTTAGCGCTTTACGGTTAGAAGCTAAGGTAAGTTATTCTCTACTAGCTCTTTGTTGATATTTTTGGAGGATCCATGGCTCTTTTTTTTCTCAAGCTATGAATCATGTATTCCTTGATCTGGATCGTGTCTTTACCCGAATCTAGATTTAGAGATTTGACGCTTGATTTTTGTTTTTACATCTCTTTTTGCTAAGCCTAGGTAGATCTGCTGTGAAATTAAATAGCGATCTGCTTAAATTTGTTTTGTTTTAATTTATGTGGGTAGATCTGTGGATTTAAAGCTGGTTTTAGTGATTTATAGAATTTTAATCTTGAAAAGAAATTTCGAAAGTTATTACTTGGTTTCTATTTTAGGAAGATGATTTATTAAGGATGTTTGTGGTGAGCAGGTAAACTATTTGTTGTTAATAGTAAATTAAAAATACCGGTGAAAGGTGGAAGATGAAGCAGTGTGCGTTCCAACAAAACTCGATCGGAAGCAGGCGTGAGGAGATGCGAAGCTCCTTTCCGATGTCAGTTATGGTTACAGATCGGGGAGAGACCATGGTCTGCCCGAAACCACGTCGTTTAGGTTTCTTAAACTCCTTAAACGACCACCCTGTTAGGTCCCTTAGTTGGCAACTTAGGTAATCCCCCCTCCTTTTTTTATGTCCTTTGATCCTCTCTCCCTTTTTAATTTCACCCCATAAAGCAAAGAAATGACATATTTGTTTGATGTTTTTTCAGTCATCAAGGGGAGCTTTGTGATTCAAAACCTGGGAGTGATGTTTTTGATATGATTCTTACAAAGGTATGCTTATTTCACCTAATTTTATTTATATTCCTAAATTATGTTCAACTTATTCACAAATAGGAATTATAATGGATTTAATTGTAGAGGAAACTAAGTGTGTTGCCCATGTGCCAGCTAACCAAAATAATAGAGTTTAGTAATTAAAGCTTTGTGTTTTAGTACATCGTTTCTTATAAAATCCATATGGCTATTGGTTTTGGGATATTACAGGGTGGTTGTGGAGCGGAAGAAAGTTGTGCAAATGTAGCGCAGCCGCCCCCATTTTTTTGTGGGTCGCCGCCGTGCAGAGCAGCTAACCCATTAATACAGGATGCTCAATTTGGGGATGAGAAGACCACCACCCCATTTCCGCTACTATCTCCGATCCCGCCTCCTTCTGGATTGTCGTCGTCGTCTCCATCCGGGCCAAGGAAAGGGAGCTGTGTTCGGGCAAATTTTGGTAACAAACCAGCTGTTAGAGTTGAGGGGTTCGACTTCCTTGACAGGGATAGCCGGAATTGCAGCATCCCTGCACTGGCTTAGAACCCATTCCAATCCACAAAAGGAGTAAATAGGTAACAAGGAAGAGGAGCTTTTACAAAATACCAGATTTAAAACCGTGGAATTTTGAAGTCATCGGTGAAAAGGAATCCTTTAATGTGTATATTTTTTAAGGGGTTCTTTGTATGTACTGAAATTTAAGTAAATGAGTTTCTTGAACAAAATAAGAACATAGCTGTTATTTAGATGTTTAGGAATAGGAAGCATCTCGCAAGATGGAAGATGGTTGTGTCGATAGCCATATCGTGCTGTTCTTTGTAATTAAAGTGTGTCGAGTTGGGAAGTAGAAATTTGCATATTAGTGCTGAGTTTCTGATCTCCCAATATGGATAGAAAATTGTACAAAAATCAAGCTGGTAACCGAGTCATTTAATTAGACATTCGGCAATGTTTATAATCCTATTGGGTTTTTCTCTGTGGTTTCAACGTTTGGTAAACACTTTTTAAGGATGAAAGTTGGGCCTTTTATCCGGTTCTTAAGGAAGAATACTAGCTTTAAGCTTTTAATTGTTCGGCTAATCTAACCCAAGACTTGGTAACTTATTTTACAGAATATTTGTTTGACGGAAAATAGATTTCGAGGAAAATAGATTTCGAAAAATTAACATTTGTTTGATGGAAAATAGATTTTGAAAAATGAAGTTGACTGAAAAGTGATTTCTGTTAAATGAATTATAGAAAATATTTTTTAGAAATCATTTTAGATGTTTGGATGATGTTGTATAATTCATTTTCTATTGATTGACTTTTTTTAAAATTTTTTTTATTATAAACATCAAATACAATAAATAATATTATTTATTAATAAAATAATGATATTGTTTTTAAATTATTAAAATAATTTATTTAATATTATTTATGTCAATATTATTATTAAAATATTAAATCTATAAATTTATAAAAAAACATTGAGGTTATTAATTTTTCTATTAAAATAAAATTATTATGAACTATATTAATTATTTATTAAAACAAGAATAATATATTATTATATTAATTACTTATTAAAATAATAATATTATTAAAATATTAAAAATAAAAATATTAAAATAAAAATATTATATTATATTATATTTTAAAGAGTGTATTTTAAATATTCAATTATTTAATAATATTATATTTATGAAATTAATAAAGAAAATTAATTTTATTAATAATTTATTATTTATTATTAAATAAAAGTATAATTATATATTATAATACTATAATTATAACAATAAAAATATAAATAATATTAAAATTTCAATTAATATAATTTAATGATTAATATTTTATTAAAATAATAATAAATAATATATAACATTAAATATATAAAATACTATTTTTTGAGTGTTTATGATTTTAAGTGAAAAGTTTGTAAAATAGCTTACGAAAAATCAAACCGTAAGTTATTTCCTGAAAATGCAAAGGCAATGCAGTTGACAAGTAAATGAATTACATTGACAATCTATTTTCGCCAACCAAATACTGAGATGAGGAAATCATTATCCGAAAAATTAAGTACATGGAAACAAACAAACTCCTATTAATTATTTCATCTTATTTTAAAATATTTATTAAATATTTGGTAATTTTTTATCTTTTTAAAAATTGATATATATATAAAATATAAGCTTCGTCAAATCTAAATTGCACTGAAATTACTTCATCTTAATTTTTTTCTTTGATATGTTATATATTTTTATTGAAAATGTATCTATTTATTTTTAGTTATCATAAGTTTCGAGAAAGCCCTTTCAACTTTTATTAAAATACTCACTGCATCTTAATAAATTTATAAAAATAATATTCATCTTTTAAAAATCGAGTGAATACTATATTAAAGAAATTACTTAAAATATATAGTATTTTTTAATTATATAATATAAACACATATCTAAATAATTATAAAAAATATTTTTTAATAACGTTGGATGCGTGAAAATAGACAAATAAAATTATTTGTTTGTTTTTTTTCAGTGAATATATTTTCATTTATTATTGTTAATTTCAAAGGTCTATTTTGTTCATCCAACAATCTTAAAAAATTATAAAATTAAAAATTATTATATAATATGAACCAACAATAACATAATATATACAATATATAGAGAGCTAAGGTGATTACAAAGTAGTATTTGTTCTAAAAACTCTCAACTATTTGATAATTAACGCTCAGTAACTCTACTACAATCGCTGGTACTCGAACCCGTGGTCTCTAAAAACAAAAATGATTTTTTTAACCATTAAGGTAAGTTAGTTCGTGCCTAAAAATATATATAGAGAGAGAGAGAGAGTTTGGTTGACCAAGACTATAGTGCCTAAAAGTCAAGCCACCAAAGTCTCCGTTTCTATAGGTACAACATCGTAGAAATTGAGTGACTAAAATAAAAGGTTTTTAAGTGATCAAAACATTAAATTCATAAACGTTGAATGACCTTCTTGGTAGTTTTCTCTAACTATTATTGTTGTCTTTGGACTTTGTTACCCTGGGTCCATGGTTGGGCCGACCTTCATGTCCGAGGTTCGCAAGTTTGACCGAGTACTTGGAATCTAGTCGAAACCAAGTCTTAAATGACCGCATCAAACCCATACTCGTATTCCTAAAAAAAGTAGGTTAAATAACTGATCCACATTAATTCTGCTCACAACACCTTCTATTTGAACATAAACTCTACATTTAATTCGACTCGATATATATAATTTTTATTTTTATTAGATGAATAAAAGATAAAATTAACTCAATAATCTAAACGGAATAATTATTTGAGCTTACAGTATGACCCATATATTAATTAGTAATTTACGACAATTACTACAGTACTTTTAGCTCGTCACTTAGGGGATGATGACGGATGAGTTTTAATAAAATCTATTTTTTCTATTGGAGATAATCATCCCCTCGCGACCAGTTTTAATAAAAAAATTAAACTCGTCACCATCGTGACGAGGTTTAATATATTTTTTACACTCGTCAACCTCTCTTGACGGGTTTACCCTCCACTATAGTAAATATCATATATCTCAAATAAATTTTGGGATGTCCTATTGGTCTAAATAGTTTATCCCCATGAATTATTGTCCTGATTTGATCGGAATAAAGACCTAATTAATATATATATATATATAGCGAGATAATATAACAATCTTCCTTAAACATATAAAGATCAATTATATTATTATTGTCAAATAGTATTAAATAATTTTCATCTTAAAGTCGAATTCAAACTCACTCAATTTTTTCTCTTAAAAACTTGATATAAATCTATTTTTTAAAAATAATAATAATAATTCGACCTTATAAGATCATAACCCACTAGATGAAGGAAAAACACTCATCCTCCCAACCCCTAATCCTTGGGGAACAAGTAATGGAATTTGGATGCTTGATTAAGTTGAGAAGCTTCCACAACAGAAACACCCACCAATCCCACGTGTTTCTTCTATAATAACGAAGTAGTTCCATATTTCTTACCGGTCTGTCCTGTGTCTTTGAATCTTTAAGTCACAAGATAAATTCAACGAACCGGGCCGCCATTTTAACAACGGTCCAGATGGGCGACGGTTGAGTTGGGTACCAAGTGCCTGGTCATGGAGCCAAGGTGGTAGATTCTATCAGTTTATCTGCCCACACAAACACTCGCCAGCAGCCATTTTCATCCTATATATATATATATATACATAAGCAACCGTCTTCTTCCCTGTTTCATTCCATCGTAAGAGAAAAAAGAACATGAAGAGAAAAAGGAGCGATATGGAGGCCATGGGTGGCGGTGGAAACAGGAACAAGAGAGCTGCGAAAACCAAGGAGGAGGAGGGGAGGAGGAGAAGAGGCGGCGGAGGGCGGCTTACGGGGTATGGTGTGGTGGTGGGAGGAATGGGTGGAGGAGCAAATGCCGTGGGCGACGGCGTGGTCGCCGTTGTGGGGTGTGGATTTCGTCGACAGGGCTTATGGTGCATTGTTCGGCGATGTTGCTTGGGACGATGATATTTGGGGGTTGAAGACAGTAATGGCGATTCCCCAGCAGCAATGAGAACAATAAGAAGAGGAGGAGGAGGAAGAAGAGTTTGGCAAAATATGTTTTAGTTCCAAAGTTGATTTTAGAATAAGCTAATAATTTAGCTTAGAAACGGTGTAAGATGCAGCTGTTTCTCAGCTTTTATCAAGATTATAGCTTTCCTTGTAGCAGATAGTTCATCAAGTATGATGAGCTGCGATATGTCCGCTATAAATTTCGTATCTTTAAATAATAATAAAAACTAAATCTATATGTTATTTATTGGTGTGATTATGGAAACTAATTCATGTTTTTGTTTTAGTGTCCTCGACCAATTTTATGAAATGTCTGGTCTAAAAATTAATGCTGCCAAATGTGAACTATATACTACTGGAATCTCAATCAAAAATCTCGAGCATATTTTACAATCAAGAGGATTCATACATGGTTGTTTGCCAATGAGATACCTAGGGGTTCTTTTAGTCACGAGGAAACTCACTGAAAAGGACTGTGTAGTTCTTATTGAAAAGATCAAATTAAAGCTTCATCACTGGTCGGTAAAACACTTGAGTTATGCAGGCATATTAGAACTAATCAGAGCTGTCCTATTCAATATATCAAACTACTGGTGCAGACAATTAATTCTACCTCAGACTATTATTTACAGGATTGAACAACTTTGCTCTAGATTTTTCTGGAAAACCACTGATAAGGTTGTCACTGGAACAAGAGTTAGCTGGCAAAAAATTTTCCAAGCTAAATCTGAAGGAGGATTCGGATTAAAAGATATCAAAACATGGAACAAAGCATATATGATACAACTTATCAGGAACATCCTTGCGGGAGAGGGATAATTGTGGGTAGCTTGAATTAAAAGCTACGTTATCAAGGATAAAGACTTTATGTTCATGGAAGATATTGCAAATTCTAGTCGGTGTATCAGGCGCTTATTGAAACTCAGGGCAGTTACCATCCCTATTTTATCTACAGGAGCTACGAAGACAAATGATTTCTGGAAAGAACTTCGTGTAAAAGGAGATAAAGTCTCATGGCACAAATTGATATGGTTTCCTATACACATTCTAAAACATAGCATGATTACATGGATGACGCTTCTTGACAGACTCCTAACTAAAGAGAGGCTTCTTAGAATGGGAATCGTTACTGACGTCACATGTATACTCTGCAATGAGGTTACGGAGATTAGGACCACCTGTTCAATGAATGCCCTTATACAGTTTCCTTATGGAATGATATCCTGAATATCTCCGGCTTAAGCACTCCTCCTTTACCATGGGTGAGCATGTTAGACTGTACCTGTAGTGCTTGGAAAGGTAAGTCCCTCCTCACTACTATCTTGAAACTTGTTTGGTACGCTTTAATCTATTCACTGTGGGAGGAAAGAAATAGAAGATTGTAACGAGGAAGAACAAGAAGTGTGAAAGAAATGTTGAACTCTATTAAGGAGATTGTACGTATCCAATTAAGAGGAAGGAATATAAATAAATTAGATAATATTAATATAAACCTTTGTAATCGTTTGGGTGTTGACCATCCAATTCTGTTGTAAGTAGGTAGTCCTTTATCCCATTGTTGGGATAATATTTGTATCCTTTATCTCATTATTGGGATTATTTTTATAGAACTCTGCATCTTGGGTAATAAAATTTAAATTTATCAAGAAAGAAGAAGAAGATAACCAAGTTTAAAAAGAAAAAAAAATCAATTTTGTATTTGAATCTCATAAGTGCTAAAAAATTTATATAAAAGATCACAAAAATTATGTTTTGAGAGATTACTTTGCTGAGTTCAAAATTGAGAATGATCTAAAGAGAGTTGTCAATTAACAGTAACTTTAATGATTTGGACCAAAATATTAAACTTTTCAAATACTCATGAACTGGAATGTTATTGTTTAGAGTAGGGGATTAGAATGTTATTGAATAACTAGATAAAGAAGAGACAAGGGCAGGCCACGGGTGATGAAGATGGTCGAAAGAAGAGCAAGAGAGCTGTGGAAACCAAGGAGGAGGAGGGAGGAGCAGTGGCGGCGGCGGAGCAAATGCCGTGGGCTCAAAGAACAAATGTAATAATAGTTTACGTACTAAACGTAAATCTAAAATAGATAGTCAAAGCCCAATATCTTTTGGGCTCAAAGAAGGACTGAACGACCCTATGTCTATGCCTACTTGCCGTACCCTACTCGCTCCGCTTCTGCTCAGCTGTTGCTCTTTCCCTCTCGTCAATCAAATCCAATTCTCAATCCTCAGGTAAACTCCCTTTCACTGTTCTCCGCCGTTCATTCCTGCCTTATTGATTTTCATTTTGCAGCACTTTTACTTTGTTTTTCACTCTTTTTTCTTCTTCTTCTTCACCGCTAGCACTGCGAATATCGATTTCAGTTGATGTTCAGCTCTGTATATTATTGATCAATTTTACTTAAACCCCAATTCTCTTTGAGTTGCACCTTCACAAATTCTGGGTTTGCATTTTAATTTCTGAGCAATAATTATTGAACTGTGAACTTTACTTTCAGTAGCTGGAATTTTGCGTTTTGGAGAAAAAAGATTAAACCAATGCTTCCCACGCCTAGGAAGTGAACAACTAATATGGTGGGTAATAGTAGTGATGACATTTCTATTAATGCTGCTCTTGATGGATTGGAATTCGGTTCAAAGGAGGAGGCATTTTCGTTCTACAAGCAATATGCAAAATCTATGGGCTTTTCTACTATAATTAAAGCTAGTCGTCGATCACGAGTATCCGGGAAGTTCATCGATGCTAAATTTGTATGCACAAGATACGGTAATGACCAACCGGCATTCGCAGCAACCGTTCCGGTCAAGAAGAAACGAGGCAGACTTAACCGGTCGTGGTCTAAGACGGACTGCAAAGCTGGAATGCATGTTAAGAGAAGGCAAGATGGGAGGTGGGTTGTTTGTAGTTTTGTGAAGGAGCATAACCATGATACGTTCCCAGACCAGGGGTATTATTCTAGAGATGATACACATTTAGCTCTAGGTAACAATAATTTCCATGCTATCCCTGAAAGAAGTAAAAGATCGCATGTTTCCACATCCACGCAAGCCGGTGGGCACAAGAAACTTGATCGTCATAAAGGTGGTGATCCGGTCAGATATTGGGTTTAGAGAAAGGGGACCTGCAAGTTTTACTTGAACGTTTTAACTGTATGCAAGATGAAAATCCTAACTTCTCTTATGCCATAGACCTCAACGAAGAGCAGCGGTTGAGAAATGTGTTTTGGATTGATGCCAAAGCAAGGCTTGATTATGGTTATTTCGATGATGTGGTTTTTTTTGACACCGCATATATCAAGAACGATTATAAACTACCACTTATTCCCTTTATCGGTGTAAATCATCACCTCCAGTTTCTGTTACTTGGTTGTGCGTTAGTTGCCAACCAAACTAAATTAACTTATGTCTGGCTTATGCGGGCATGGCTTAGAGCAATGGGTGGAAATGCTCCGAAAGTGGTACTAACCGATCATGACAAAGCATTGAAAGAAGCTGTAGTAGAGGTCTTTCCTGATTCCCGTCATTGTTTTTGCTTGTGGCATATATTGAGCAAGATACCTAAGAAGCTTAGCTATGTCAATGGGCAGCATGAAGATTTCATGGCCAAATTCGACGATTGCATCTTTAAATCTTATACCGATGAACAGTTTGAAAAGAAATGGTGGGAATTGGTTGATGGGTTCAATTTAAGAAATTACCTATGGTTTCGATCGTTATATGAAGATCGTCTAAAATGGGTACCAGCCTATATGAGAGGCATTTTTCTTGCAGGGATGTCCACAATGCAACGATCAGACAGTGTAAGCTCTTTCTTTGACAGATATCTACAAAGGAAAACCATGTTAAAAGAGTTCTTGGATCTGTATAAAACACTTTTGCAAGAGAAATCTGAAGAGGAAGCTAAAGCTGATTTTGAAACTTGGCATAAAGCACCTGGATTGAAATCTCCATCACTTTTTGAAAAACAAATGGCATCTTTTTACACATGCAGTATTTAAAAAATTCCAGGTTGAGGTTTTGGGAGGAATCGCTTGTCATCCAAGGAAGGAAAGTGAAGAGGGAGGCGTTGTGACTTTTAAGGTTCAAGACTTTGAGAAAAATCAAGATTTCGTGGTGGTGTGGAATGATACAGCATCAGATATATCTTGTTTGTGTCGTGGTTTTGAATTTAATGGGTTTCCTTGTAGACATATACTGATTATCTTACAGTTGTCTGGGGTACAAAGCATCCCGTCACAGCATATATTGAAACGTTGGACAAAGGATGCAAGGAGTAGACAAACAACAGGAAAACAGCTGGATGCTGTCGAGACTAGAATGCATCGCTGCAATGATCTTTGCCAACGGGCCTTTAAGTTGGGTGATGAAGGATCTCTTTCTCAAGAGAGTTACAATATTGTATGCAATGCTCTGGAAGAAGCTTTGAGAAAATGCAAGAGTGTCAATTACTCGAATCAGACTGTAACACGATCAATGTCACCACAAACTCAAGGCCCCCATCACTTTGAAGAAGTGAACCAAAATAGCAGCACTACCAAAGCAGTAAAAAAGACTAAGACATCCCTTAAAAGACAGGTCAGGGAGTAGTTATTGTTAAACCTATCTTTTTTCTCACCAAAGTGCTTCGGTTTTCATCTTAACCTCTTTTGTATCTCTTAGGGATATCCGGAAACGGAGATCTCAAACACTGGGAGATGCAACAACTGGCAACAAGTGGTTAGTGGTGGTTGTTTCTCTGTTTTAATGTACTTTTACGATTCCTCAAAGAAATAAAGTCTGTTGATTTCATTGTGAAGCAATCTTGATTCCATAATTTCTGCAGGGTGTATCAAATGTACAAGTTCCAAATCTTGAATGTTCTTACGAGTCACAAGACAGCAGCATACACAGGATGGTATGACTTTTTAGTCTTACTGACTGACCAATAATATGGCAAGAAAACTAATACCAGGTTTACCATACTGAATTTTTTGGTTGTTTTAATAGGAACAACTGAACTCAAGAACTCCAGCTCTCAATAGCTATTTTGGCACCCAACAACTTATGCCGGGAATGGTATGACATTCTCCTTTCCCCTGGAAGAGCGTCCTTCCTTGATTGTTAGGTTATGGATCAATGATTTTACGAATAAGCTTATTAAAAAATAATTCGACTCATGTCCCGAATTTTATTTGGTTCTTATGTAATTCTAAACAGTATGATTTCATTTTTGTTGCAGGGACAGTTGAACTCTATTGGCCTGCCACATGATGCTCATTACATCACTCAACAAAGAATGAATGGGATGGTACGGCGTTTTGTTCTGTGATGGTCTTGAAGGATTCTCATGCTTCCTGGGCCATACAGCCAGAAGTATGGTTCCTTTGTGTTTAGCTTTTCTCAGATTATATATGTGTTTGAATAAGCTAGTTAAGCTTGTTAGTTGTTAAATGATTGCGCCTATTGTGCATCACAGGGACAGTTACCCTTCAGGCCACAAAGCATTCCCGGTTGTCACGGCATTCACGGTTCACAAGACATGGTACTCAAGTTGCTGTTAGGAATTTCCTGGTGTTTTATTTTCTGTGGTTTCTTAGATAGGGATTTTGCTCTCATTTCAGGACCAGCCTAATGCAGGATCCTCTCAGTTACAAAGCATGACATCAAGAAAGCTGCATTACAAGCACCTCTCTCGATAGGTGACATTATAGAGCTAGTCCAAGTTCTAACAAAGGTAATTGAATTATTTGAGTTGATTAATTGATCTTGGCGGCAATATTTGTTAGTAAGTTCAGACTGGTTGAATGAGGCCCGTAGAATTCGATTTTTTCCCATTCAGATAGGGTTGAGTGTTGAAGAGAATTCACAGGAGGAGCTGCTTCATATACAATGATAAAGATGCTAACAAATTCAAACATATGTATATAAAATTTCTTATAACCATTACTGTATTTTCCTTGATTGATTCCGGTGTTCCGGCAAGGTTGTCGTAGTTTGGTTTGGCTATTCGAGGATGGTTTAAGGAACTCTTGTAATAAGAGGCTTGTGATCTGTAAATTATACAAATTCTGTATTCTTTGTTGTACTTGTACGTTTCTGAAGATTACAGTTAGAGCCTTCTGATTTTTTTTGTTAGAATTCAAATCTTAAAGATTTTAGCTGTATTAATATTCAACTTTTCGTTGTAAGTTATTCAACTTGAGTATTAAATGTAATGAACGTGTAAACTTCAAAGTCCAAGAGCCGTGCTTCTATCTATAACAGTCAAGCTTGTCGAGGATGGTTCACAAAATGATCAAAAAGATATGCATTTATACAATATAGTTCTCAGGCTGAGGCAATGGCCGCTGTAGAGAACGGGGATCAACAGGTTCTATGTTCTTAGAACCAAAGACATTCTTTTCGATATCCCTCAAAGCTGTTTCTCGAGCTGATTCCGATCTTTTCCTATCATGAACTGCACGAGTTACAACTTCGGTAACATATTCATTTGCGAACGGAGAACGAAAGCCTTGAGCTTCAGCTTTTGTTGGAACTTTTCGTGTTCCTTTTGATGTCCCTCAGCTGTTTCTCGAGCCGATTCCGATCTAGTCCACCAATTGAATTACCTTAATTGATACACAAGGCTGAAAGGACCTTGGAAGAACAGCAAATCTAGCATTCACCTATTGGAATTAGTTTTACTAGAATTAAGGTTGCTCTAAACTATTACTAACAAAATTAAAGCTCTGGCAAAAAGCCCCCGAGCCGGATGTACAACTTAAGTTATTTTGTGACGGCTGGCTGAGCCAACTGCTGCAATTGGTGAACAACGTGAGACATTCTCGGCCGCATAGAAGGGACATTTTGCGTGCAAGCATACACGAGGTCCACCACCTTCTGAATATCACCGGCTTCTGGAATATCAGAACTTGATGAAGATATGAGCGGATCCAAGAGCTCCGGATAGCGATGGGCCTGCACTAAAGGTGTTGTCCATTCAAATATGCTCTGCCAACCTACTGGTTCAACTTGCTCAGAAGGCCTGCGCCCACTTAAGATTTCAAGCAGCAACACCCCAAAGCTATACACGTCACTCTTTGTTGTGAGTTCATTCCGATATACAAACTCCGGGGCAAGATATCCATAGGTTCCACCAGCCATCACAGTCCTCTCATGCATTACATCCCATGGAACAATCTTCGAAAGACCAACCCCCATCAGGTGGGAACCAAACTCTTCATCAAGTAGCACGTTGCTTGCACGTATATCCCTGTGCACAACGTGTGGCTTGACCTTGCAGGAACCTGTTTTAAATTATTAACTTGTTAGACACTTGTTACAAGGTAAAATATGACTTGCAAGAAGTATGATCACAATCCAATTAACAGATCCATAAACCAGACGAGGATGCAAAATTTCGAAATACACGAGTTAGCGAATGTAGAACTAATAACAATGCCTGCATCAACTTAAACGCCCTAGACAAATAATATAAGAATTTATAAACTTGTCTCCAAGCAAAAGCGGAAATGGGGATGCCGAAGTATCAATTACAGTTGTACTTAACCAATAAAGAAGGTCTAGTCTTAGTACTCACGCAATTCACTTGGCCAGAGTTGTCGCAGTTTTGATCCTCATGGTACAATCCAAGCTCCTACCACCCCTTGGTACGTGGTATAGCCATCTATCCAACTGTCCGTTTATTACAAACTCATATACGATGTAGCGGTTTCCGTGATCATAGCAGCATCCTTTCACAGCAACAACGAAGCTTAGCAACCCTACCAATTTCAGAGTAGAACTCTTTTTTCCGCTGAAAATTAGATCTCTTCAACCGTCGACAAATATACCACACAGATGTTGTGCAAAGCTCAATTCTTCGTATGGTGTTAGGGCCGCTAAGTGTCCATGATATTGTTTACAGTGGACCTCGGATTCATTCCATGACCGGAGACTTTCAGTGTATCCAAAGCATTTAATGTTATTTGGAGAAATAACCCAACCAGAAGGGCATCCTGCTACATGACCCAACAAAAATGAAACAGCTTAATCTTCAAAAATGCCGATATATACCACAAAAAACTATAAAAAAAATTCTACAAGCAAATACACAAATCCAGCACCTTCATTGCCTTCATGCTGGGAGGAAGAATTAAATGTTGCAGCAGATCCATTAGAAGCCTGAGACATCAAATGATAACCAAAAGGAAACCTTCCTACAATTTGCATACACCTTATTTTTTGAAAAAAAAAGAGAGATGGATCGTACAATTTTACAGTGTCAAGCCTCAAGCGGGACAGCAAAAGGAGAAACTAAGAGAATAAATTGCAGAAGCACAAGCTTTAGTAGTCTTGAACTTCAGTTTTGATTTATCCCTGAAAAAAAGCAGTCAAAAACACAACATTTAAAATTAGTCAGTGAGTAGGTTAGACATAAGACAATAGCATTTAAAAGTTTAAGGTCGAGAATGTCTAAGAAAATATAACTTAATATAAGATTAAGGAAACGTCTTTATGTATTTAATTAAGTTAGTGGGGATTTCTCATAATGTCGTCATTCGGTCCACGGTGGTAGAGCACAAGACTTTTAATCTTGTGATCGTGGGATCGGGTCTCATGATGGGCAATTTATAATTACTGGATGTCTTCCACGGAAGTTGCTCTCAATCTAGCGTTGGGAGCATTCTATTACCCTACCTTCCTTTTACTCCATTACATATGGGATTAGGGTCAGCTAATTTTCGTCATTAGGTCCACTTACCATACACGTGTCACCACCGGACACACTCTCACGCTATCTGCACGGAGTTGCATGTCGCCTTTTCGGACATCTCTTTCTTTTCCCAATGCCCAATTGGCTTCACAAATTGAGATTTCCTCCCATATATAACATAGGATCGCGTGATAATAAATTCGATATTTTTAAATAAAGTTTTGCATTCGAATTTTGAAGATGAAAATAGTTTTAGTTGAATAATGCATATTGTTATTGAGTTTATATATATATTGATAAATTTCAAAATATTTTTAATGATATGCATATATAATAATAATAATAATATAAATTTTTATTAGGTGGGCGCCAACAAAATTTTGGAGTGAACAATTTTAGTACAATAAATAAATACTTATAGAAAATCCGTATATGTGCCGCCTTCAAAAAAAAGACATGAATTTTCTACGCAATATTTAAATGTCATAAAAATAATCATTAAATTTATTAAACTATTATAAAATAGTCTTTGTGATATTATAAATAATAATATTTTTAGTAAATTTAGGAATTATTTTATAATAATCTGATAAAAAAATAGTGATCCTTATATAATTATTTAATAAATACTAAGGACCCGAATTTTTAGCACCATAAATGTTAAGGATGTAAGCATTTAATGTTGAAAGGTTAAGAGTTATATTAGTATAATATTGTTGTACCTCATCCTTATCCTTTCTGTAAACTATACCTATGTTGTTATTTTCTAGTCTATCAAGTTATGTAATATTTGAAGTTTCCTGAAATTTTTGGATTTTCATATATTTTAGATAACTATAGTTCTTTAATGTGATTAGTAGCAAACTCACGTAATCAGTTAAATATGTTATATGACAATCATATCTATGCGTGCCAAATTACAAATAGTAACCATCACTCTAGGCTAGACAATAATATTAAATATTTGTATATAAATCATCATGCAATATTGGAGAATGAGACTCTTTCTGATACTCGATTCTCTCGGACTTAATATCTTTATTATTCATCATCTTCTTTAGTCCGCTAAACTATTGTTTGTAATTCTTGTTGTGAAAATGGGCTAATGAACTCAGAAAATCAACAAGCAGTAAAGCAAATAAAGAACATAAGATTTAACGAGATTCGACAATGTGCCTACGTCATTGGGAGCGATAAGTGGCTATTCTCTTTATTATTCGCAATAATACAAAATTAGGTTACAATTACAGTATATAAGAGTAACCCCAATACAATTACAAAAATACCCCGTACCGTACAAATGTTGATCGCTACGTTCGCTTCGCTCACTCCGCTCCAACATCTGTCCTCCAACTGGTATATGAACCATATCTAATAATTCTCCATTCAAATCAAGAACAAAAAACCACATCTCATTTCTCTCCCCCCAACCCAACAAGTACATTAACATAGCAAGAACTTTAACTTTTGTAAAATAGTCATTTTCTTAATGGCTTATTATGATTGAGTGCAGGCAAAGCTCAAGAGCCAGCCATTGCAATGATGGTAGTGCTGTTCTCCCTGACAACCCCAACGGGCATAGCCATAGGCATGGGCGTATCAAAAGTATACAATGAGAATAGCCCCAAAGCACTAGTGGTGGAAGGCATCTTCAACTCCCTTTCGGCTGGAATCTTGATCTATATGTCCCTTGTCTACCTCCTTGGGGTAGATTTCATGAACCCCATAATGCAAAGCAATGTTAAATTGCTGCTCGGATCTTATCTTTCACTCGACCTCGGGGCAGCTTCTATGTCGCTCTTGGCTAAATGGTCTTGAGATTTATTGTCGTGTATTGTATGATATTAATGTGATATACAAAGTGTTGTGTGCAATGGCGTGTTATCTTTCATTTTGTACCTTTGGATTTAAAGGTTTTGTATGGATTAGCATCTCAACAATGAAATGATGCAATGCTTGATATGGAAGCAATTTAATATCGCTTAAACAAAGTCTAGAGTTCGAGTCCTTATGTATGAAGAAAATTCCTACTGAAAGACTCACCCACCAAAACCAGGTGTACGATAAAAACAAAACATTGGAACAAAGAGGGCAACCAAGAAAAAAAAGCAAGATCTTTTAGTTTGTTCTACCTAATTTAAATCCCAATCCTTAATAGAATTAATGGTTCAAATTGCACGATTATTGAAGAACTTAGTTGACATTTTAATAATATTTTAATGATTAAATTAAATATTATTTTTTATTGATATGTTTCGTCATCAATTTATCGAGGGCATACTTCAAAGTGACCATTTTATTATAATACAATACTATTAGCAATTATAATATAATTTTTAAAATTTATATGGTTAAAATACAAATTTATAGTGATCATGAGAGATATTATGGCCATAAGAACTAGAAAAGAATTTAGTTCAGTGCTCTTTATTCAGAAGCTGTGGAAGATTAAGGGCTAAATACATTGATCATAAATTATAGAATAAGTTTAACAACAGACACTAATATATATAATTTCCAATGAAATCAATCAGAGGATAACAAAATTTATAAATGACGGGAAAAAATGGACTCACCCATTTTTGATGTCTACCAGTCTAAGAGAAGCTATTATTTATACCGTAGAGAGAAAAGAATATATAAACTTGGAGCAACAAAATTGCAAAAAGGAAGATGCAGCGGTTGTTTGAATCATAAATAGAAGTGAACTCACCGTAAAACTGCAGTAGAAACTCACCACCTCTTATTACAGTTTTGAATATCCATCGCTCACACGACTTCGTAATTCTCCGTAATCAAATTTGTTCTCTGGGAGAACTTGGGTGGAGCTCCACCACCTTTCAGCGGAATGATGTTCGCGACCTGCACCGATAACTCCCCCGAATGAGTGAAATCTGTGGCATTTATTCGATAAAGTGAGGTGAAGGAATTTGAATGTCAAACCTTCAGGTCACTGTATAAACTAGCTGCTGAAAAGCGAACAGAAATGGGGAAGAAAGCAGATGAATCTGCGGGAGGCGTAACAAACTCCAGCGATCCACTGTCAATGTCGGAAGCAAGAAAAGACTTGTAAATCAATAATATCTTTACGAGATACAAATTGAAAAAGCCTAAGGTAACAGAAATTTTTTACGAGATACAAAAGTGACTAGGAATGACTAGCTAAAAACACATGCAGATAAAAGAAACTGAGATTATATTTGCACTGGTGTCCATTCAACTACAGAATAAAAATCAACTTGCAATTACTGAAGGTGGCCAAAGAAATACAAAATCAAATCTCTTACTTTTATGTAATTTATTATGATCAAAGATCTAAAAAGAGAGAAAATAAATCAAAGAGCAGCTGATGCACACCAGCTTTGAGAGCAGTCGCAGAGTCTCCAAATCTTCAAGAATATTGCTCTGTTTGTTAGTTACAAGAAGCAAATAAAGAGCTTCTATTGGTTGATAAACATATCGCACATTCTCAGTCTCAACATATGTGTGTTGCTTTCCGGTGCCCACCAACTTGGGAAAAGCTGCAAGAAGACCCTCAATTCTTATGCGAGTCATGTCCACAAACTGCCTGGAGACAAGCACTGAAATAAGAGACAAAAAAGAATGTCAGTGAGACAAACAAATTTTGCATTTCAACAATTCAATCATCATGACATGAGAAAAACAACCACAACAAAAAAAATGAACTGACCTTTTCCGGACTTGCTTAAAACAGAAGCAGCAAGTACAACCTGAATCACAAAAATAGAAGAAACTTTTGTATCATTGCAGAAAACAGAACATGAACCTCGTAGGTTGCAATGAACGGTTCAGTATTCATCTTCAATGTCTCCTAAATCGTTACACAATTCAATTGGAGCATAAACAGTATAAAAATAAGTTAAACGAGGATCTATCCAAACCGACAACTCAACTAAAAAAGAACAAAGGAGAATGAAAATAAAGAGCAAGGTATGTACCATCTTGGATATCGGAGCAAACTACCCAGCCAATATCAAATTGAAGCGTTAATCAGAGAAACTAGCAGACAACGAAAATCATGTTAGCATAAAAGGAAATTAAAATTAAAATCTGGAAATGGGATCAAGATAAAGTAAGTAAAGAGGGAACGAATTCAAGAAGATCTTAAACAAAACGTACAATAAATGTGAAAAACAAAAAACACAAAAAACGAATCAGCAAACACATCGACCACCTCAGATCTATACAGCAACAAGCATGTAAATTCAAATATCAATAATAAAAATGCAGTGCTTGGGAGACAAGAAAATGGAATACTGCTACAGAGACAAAAATTAGGCTACTCGCCGGGGAAAACACCAGTACGACTGAATATAAGTCTTCAACATTTTGAAATTTTCGACAAGTATAGGTTCGTTTAAATCTGGAGAATTTATAACATAAACTAGCAATTCGGATAGCGGTGTTTCCAGATCTGAGAAGGAGGTTACCTCGATCTAATTTGATGTGTGCTGTGTGTATGATCTTCTCGCGGGAGATCGGGTCGTCTAGACTAAATGCACAGAAGAGAGATAAATTTAAATCCGCCCAGTATATATCAGCGTTTCGGTAGACTCATCATTATTTTATTTTGGACCCATTTTGGATTGTCCAGCCCCAGTCGGGTTGCCTTTCAAATTTAACTTTTGGGTAAACTACAAGTTTAATACCTAAACTATAAATTTTATCCGTTTTAGTAATTAAACTTTCAATTTTTTAAAAAATCATACATGATGTTTAGTTTTTTGTTTCATTTTAGTACCTATGTTCAAAGCTTAACGTTAAGTTTTTAAAAAAATTGAAAGTTTAGATACTAAAATGGACCAAAACTGATAGTTTAGGTACTAAACACATTAAGTTTTAACGACATGCACTAAAATGAAACAAAAACTAAATATTATGTATGATTTTGAAAACAAAATAAAAAAGTTTAGGTACTAAACAAATTAAAATTAATAGTTTATGTATTAAACTCGTAGTTTGCCCTTTAATTTTTGGGTTAAATAGTATTTAGTCATGTACCAATTATTTTAACACCTTGACAAATATCATGTGATGCCTTTAAAACGTAAAAGGCTTAATTATAAAACAAGTGCCTAAACTACATCAATTTTCTAAACAGGTGTTCAAACTTTTTTTAATCATCTAAGTGTATAACGTTACAAACGTGATCACTTTAGGCCCTCGAGTTGTAACGACAGTTAAATTCCATTGTTAAGTGACACGTGTCTCGTTTTTGTATTTTTTTTGGTAATTTTAAATTTTTTATATAAATTAAAAAATATAATTATATATTTAAAAAAAAAAAATTCTAAAAACTTTTTTAAGAAACTCAAAACTTTGAAAACTCCAATTTCAATCCCTAAATCTCCATCGCTCGTCACCGTTTGACGTCAATCGAACCTTCACCAAAACCTCCACCCTACGAAAAGCCAAACTCGACAAGAAACACTGCATCTCCGATAAAGAAAACGACAAAATCGCGACCCAAAATTACATCTTCGGTGAACTCAAAACCCTAAATTCACCACACTTAGGAGATCCAAGGACGAGCACGACGGCAAGAGAGACAATGACTGACCATGGAGATGGCAAGGGTAGCGTCGATGATGCAGTGGCCTACAAGGAAGGCTAGGGTTATAGTTAGAGATTTGAAATTTTAAGGTATTTGAGGTTTTCTTGTAATTTTAGAAAGAATAAATTTTTTTATAAATATAATTTTTTTATTATTTTATAAAAAAATTAAAATTACCAAAATTTGACACGTGACATTTAACAAAATTTATTAACAGTCATTACATCCCGATCACCTAAAATGATAACGTTTGTAACATTAGATACCTTGATGGTTCAAAAAAAGTTTGAGCACCAATTTGGAAAAAGCAATATAGTTTGGATTTTATAATTAAGCCAATGTATTACAATATATTAATTTTTTTTTAAATAAATTGTTAATTTTTTTAATTTAATATATATTCTATGTCACGTGATGCTTTTTTTGTAAGACAAAATTGAAGATAACATATTTTAAGATTGAAAGATTTTTATAAAATAAAATAAATAATGATAAAATAAATTTCATGTGTCAAAATACTATTTAAACCTTTGATTTTTTTTTATAGATTAGTTCTTACAACTCGTTTCGTTTTTCCCCGTTCCGTTTCTAATGTATTTTTTTGGTACATAGGACAAAACGACAATGTTTTGTTTACCATCTTAATAGCTCTATCCCATGGATATCGGCTCGCAACAGATTAAGCAGTTCATTTGGTGGCTCCTCAACTTTGTGCGTCCCTTCGACTCGTATGGAAGCTAGGTGTGCCATCCGATCCACGCAACGATTTTCTTCTCTCTAGGTATGTCGAACTTCCTTAACCATCCTTCTTTTACCATTTTTTGACATTCACTAATAAGAATTTTATTTTACATGTTGGTCGATCCACCTCCCTGTATCGCTTCGACTGCCCATCGAGCATCTGCTTCGACTATTCGACTACTAAGTTCGTCGCTCCCAAGGCTTTCTCAAGGCTCAATTTTTCTCTTATACCCCAGATTTCGGCCACGACGATCGTTGTTTTGCCGAGATTTACCATAAACCCGTACGCCCATTTTTTTTTTCATCTCTTATTAGACCATTTTTTTTCAAGATCCAGTGTCCACTTGGCGGTTTCCTCCATTTTTTTTATGTTGTTATTTGCTTGGGTGATTTCTTTTGCCAGATTGTTGTTGTAGTTTATCAACTTAGTTGTGTTGGGATTATTGCTTTAAATATTGCTTCGCTTCTGGTTTTCCATAAGCTCCATATGATTGTAGAAAATTGAGTTCCCAAACCTATTCCATATTTGGTCACTTTTTCCGATAAAAAATTCCATCTCATTCATTCTTCGAAAACCCTAGATTCGAAGCTCACATCTTGACTCCGTACTTCGGTCTTCTCCCACACCTCTTTCGATACTTTAGACTCTCTCAGTATGTGTTCAATCGATTCGATAACTAACTCCCTGGCAATGTTTACACTGGTTCTCTTGAGTCATCTTCTTTTTGAACCGTATTTCGTTCGTGTTTAGTCTATTCAGAATAGTGAGCTAGATAAACACTCTTATTCTTTCAGCAATATTAACTTTCCAATCTCAACTAAAAACTGGACTCCACATTTAACTTTAAAGGACTCTTGAACGGCAACTTTTAGTTATGGTGAGTAGCTCATGTAGAAGTAATTTTTCTTGATGACCGGCTCATATCTTTATGTTTATTTGTAGTCATGTTGATCTTTTCTGTTATGGATTTTTGAATTGAATTTTGATGTGCGATTTTGCGTTTGCGGATAGTTTCTCATGATTCTTGGCTCTGATTTGTGATTATCGATGGTCTTTTAATAGCTTAATTTCATTTTTGTTGTTTGTTGTCGATGTAATCAATTTGTTCGTATCTATTTTTTGATCGAGATTTTAATATTTTCCATGTATGATTCTTATATAATATAAAGTGAAAAGTTTTTATGTTATAGAAAAATGTTCAAATTATATATTTAGTTTATTATGACAATTGTAAACTCTTATGGTAAATTTTAGATATTTTAACCTTTTAATAATCTAGTTGTTTCTATTAAAAAATAAGTGAGATATTTCAAATAATATTTTGAAAAAACATATTTATAATTTTCAAAAAATAATATATTTATTACCTAACATAAAAGAATTTTAATTGTGGTTTCAGTTATATTTTCATTTATATTTCGTTTATTGTAAATACGAGTATAATGAATACAATTATAATAATTACGAATATTACAATCACACAATAATAATTTTGGAAAATATCATTACTATTATATAGCAGACAATATTATTATAGTGGATTATTATTTTTTTTATTAATTTATGCAAGTATAAGGTAATATATATTTAAATACGACTATTTGATGTTAAACACTCACACCTTTAACATTATTCGAACTCAGAATCTTAAAGAATAACAATAATTTTTTTATTATAGAATTCATTTGATTCGTATTAGTGGATGACTACATATAATTAACATAGGATATAGTTTACCCTTAAAGTATATAACTCCTGTTTTTTTATTTCTCTCACATAAAACACTGGTAAAATTCGCAGATTTATACATTAAGCCCTAAATCAAACCCGAAAAAGGGAAAAGTAACAAACAATCACGAGCGGCCACTATGGATGACGCCGAGGGAGGTCTCAGCTTCGATTTCGAAGGCGGTCTTGATGTGGGTCCCGCCGCCCCGACCGCCTCCATGCCTGTCGTCAATTCCGATCCCTCTGCAGCCGACAACAACAACAACCCCGTCGCCCAAGGCGTTGCCCCTGCTTTGACGAATGACTCCCCCGCCGTTTCAGGTGGCGGAGCTGGGCGAAGGAGCTTTCGACAGACTGTATGCCGCCACTGGCTCCGCAGCCTTTGCATGAAGGGTGATGCCTGCGGTTTCCTTCACCAGTACGACAAGTCCCGTATGCCGGTCTGCCGGTTTTTTAGGCTCTTTGGTGAGTGCAGGGAACAAGATTGTGTCTATAAACACACCAACGAGGACATCAAGGAGTGTAACATGTATGTTTTTCGGGGCTTATGCTTGCGTTATTATTGTTTCCTCTTACATCGGTTCAATTTCTTGCACTAGTTTTTATAGGATTTGGGTCATGAAAGAAGATTTAGAGAATGGCTAGAACAAAACAAAGTGCTATTTTCTATTAAACGTGCCTTATAAGATGAGCCATAGTGTTCTATCATTTTATTTCAAGTGAATTTAGTTAATAGCTTATATAAACTATGCTTTACCTAGGGAAAGCTAAATGAAACGGATGGTTATTTTGTTTTTGAAGTCATTGGACCCCCATTTTTTGTTTTATTGTAATTGCCAAATAGCTTGCTTTTGATGCATCTCAAAACAGAAACCATGGAACTTCTTGAATATTTAGCAGTAATTATGTTTACTGAATTTCATGATTGCAGGTACAAGCTAGGTTTTTGTCCCAATGGTCCTGACTGCCGATATA